CCGAGCTGTGAAGGCACCTGGGCAATGGTAGCTAACATAATTAATCCAGACTACAAAAGATGATTAACTACACAGTCAAAGTCAATTCGGCCGCAGAAAGGTTTACCATGCGACGGAGCTGCTGGAGAAATCCGGCTGGTGCACCGCTGGAGGGCTGGGGCACCATCACACCCTCATGCTGGAGCACTGCTGGGGGGCTGGGGCGCCATCACACCCTCATGCTGGCGCACCGCTGGAGGGCTGGGGCACCATCACACCCTCCTGCTGACGCACACACTGCTTCGTCTCGACGAGTCCGGGGTGCTCGTCCGCGAGCTTTTGATGGTGTTGGAAACTCGCGAGCGAAATACGGGGCAGGACGGCAACCTCCACGTCGCGGGATCGCGAATCGAGATGGGAGAGACGCTGTCGTCGCCGGTCGGCGGCGCTGCACACTGTGCTGCCGCCGAGGCTGAGGCAGCTCCTAGTCCTTGCCCTCGGACGGGTTATAATGCGCCACATGCGGCAGGATCCTGCGACAACTGAGATCGTGCACGGAATGTATGTGCTCATGCAAGCCGCTTCGCTCAGGATTTACGCATGTCTTTAGTCTGCACGCGCGTATCTCTAGGATTCGTCAATACCCTTTTGCTTAATGTTTTGTCTGTTCACGACGTGCCGGAATAGTCACGCGTGCGCGGTGGATCACCCTCACATGCGTCCATTGTCTGATGTTGAACGTCTGAGAGATGCCATGGAGAGATCGACTGAAATGATGACGGCTCGTACGATCGAGCGTTGCCTGACTTAATAGGAAAATCGGTCTATCAAGAATCCAGGAAATCCTTTGATGCTTTTCTGTGCTCTCTGAAAATTGCGAACTGCGTCATCGTTCTAAGAGTTCCCTCTGATTATGTTATTATGGTCGGTTACATTAGCTGATCAAATGTTTTTTTCCAGAGGCATCATTTTATATGCTTGCGGAGAGGGGGGGGGGGCTGCTCAGCCCCCCCCCCTCACTCATTGCTAAATTCAGCCCCGCAATGCTGAAGTGAGCCCCCCCCCAACCCCAGTGCTCCTCTGAGCCCCTCAATGTATACCAGTAAAGCGTGAATAACTGGCAAAACAACGGCAGAACAATCAGCTTAACTTTTGGTATAGTAAATAGTACGTACCTGAACGCATCAATATTAGTGTCAAGTTGATTTTGTGCCAGGTGATATCCTGTAGGTAGGTCCTGCCCTTCCTAATGTTTTCTGCCATTCCATCTTGTTCATATGCCAAGCCAGTCTGCAAATGCCTGACAAGTTTTTCAGATAACACCAGAATTGGGATATGTGGCAGATTTGAAAAGTGCAGGGCGGCCCAGATAAACGTTAAGGCATTTTTCCCCTATAGTGGCGAGTGCATTTGTCGCATAATCGTGACTTTTGTGGTTATCCAAAACAATCAGCGGCAACGGTAGTCATCAGTGGACATACTAAGATGTCTGCTGTGATTTATATTCTATTCTAAGCTTTTCTAAATAAAATCTGATGAAATCTGAGTATCAGACACCAATGCAATTAGTTGAAATCCGGCGGGAAATCAGACTTATGGGTTAGGTTAGGTCAATATATTCGGTGAGCCCCTCAAACCGCTTTCCGAAACTGACACCCCTGCGCTTCTCCCAAAATTGTTATACACGTAAACCGTCTACAACGGTTTGTAAACGTTGTAAACGTGTCGGAGCCCAACCCATTAGCGTTTCCTATCATGCATGATCTTTGTGTTACGATCCAGATGACAAATCGATTCACGGTCGGGGCACCTCAGATCGGCCTTGTCGGACGCCTTTTCTGCGTCACAATTCACAACGATCCAAATGCTCCAAATTACTCGGGCTCCTGGCCATTTTAGAATTGCTAGCTAAGGTATCCTGCCATGCGCCACGTCTCCCGACAACCAACAATTCAAAGATTACAGAAACCTGCTCTTTGACACGGTAGTGGCCTCCCCCTGGTCATGATCAAGCTCCGCCACGTCGAACCAGAGAGCACCAGCTCAAGGTGTATCCCAGACATTTGGTTCCTGAGGTAACCTCAACCGCCATCTAGGAATTGCAACCAAACTATGGTCACAGAAAATTCCGCCTGATGTCTCTAGTGACGCTCCGGAGCCTCGTCAGTGCCGGTTTCGCATTTTTTCCGACCCATCCACCCGTAGCGTGTTAGTGGCAGTTATCCCTTTAATCTTGTTCTAGAAGTGCCAGCAGCGTAATTTGTTGTAGCATATTTTGTGCGTCCTAACAAGGCGAAGGTCGACTCGTGCAGGTGCCTGCAGGTTATACCTATGTCGACGCTCTGAAAGCGGCAGCTGTTTAGATGGTCGGTTAAATAACACCTCGCTTGCCGTCATCCAGGTGATGCGAGGAGCTAGCTTCTCGCGTCCCCAACCAAAATTCTAAATGTCAACAAGGAATGCCAATTCGCCCTTGGACTCGGTGCACAGCTGAACGAACACACCGGGTGGCGAACGCCAGCCGTTCTAACGACCCCTTCAACTTTAACGCAGACATATAGCCAAGGGGGGGGGGGGTCAAGGGGGCCGTGGCCGCCCAGAGCCAAGAGCTGTACGAGCACTAGATGCTGTACGGTTTTGCTCGAATGTGATCCAAATTCGCAAAACTTTAGAGAAAATTTGACGGTTGGCCCCGCTGAGTAAAAGTTTTAACTACGCGCCTGCTTCCACACCACCGCACCGCCTACCCGCCAACTAAGTGGTGACATTGGGGACCGATGCGACATCCGACTTTCCAAGCCGAGCTTGCGCCTAGAGGGACTCATCAACTAGCCGGCACACGGACCATCATCTTCACAGCCTCTCACGTAGACATGCGGCCAACATTTTCCCAGCGGGGCGGGAGCGGGCAAAATCTTCCAAATTCTGCAAACCCGCATACTTGATGTAATCCCTCGGCTGAAAGGCGGAGGGGGGGGGGGATGGGCTTCACCACGTCCCTACTCTCACGCATATTGAGATACGAGCGTCGGAAGCACAGCCGACAGTTGCCTTTGAACTCAAAATGCCGTAACCACTAGCAACGTTGGAGAGCACGACACATTAGCGAGACGATGCTGCCAGGACGAGCAACTTCATGCCTTAATGCGGGCAGAACAGACCGCCAGACCCTGGCGTTTCGGCAATGTGAGCTACCGTGTTGAGAACAGCCTGCCTTCAATATTCTGCGGGCCTACCGACCACACAGCGTTACCAAGGAACCATTAGCTGCTAAGCAACGCTGTTTAACGTAACTGTTCACCTTGGAAAGGTCATCCTCGAATGACACGAGGTTACACAGATGCTCATTTTACTAAAAAATTGGTGAGACTGGTACCGCGCCCTCCGCCCCCCTCCAAGAGACACACTCGATCACTGCTTTCCTCCTATGGTTATGGTTCTCCTTCCCACATGTCGCTCGTATGGGGTCGCCCGCTGGTTGCACTCCCGTGTTCGCTTTGCCGTGGGAGGAATCAAAGTTAAATTTGTTGACTTCAGCTGCGAACCGAGCGGCGAGCTTTGTCAGTTTCTTGTTCCAGCACCCCAACCAAAACATCATGACCGAAACACGGAGACAGGAAATCTTCTCGTAATGCATATCAACAGCAATGCCACGCACGAGTACGTTTAATGTGCACCATCTTACTCTGTGCAACCACGTACCAATGCTGAAAGAAAACTCGCATCGCTCCATCAAGTGTATGTACGCCAAGTTCATAAAATCACAAAATCCCCTCCCTACACAAACACGCACATACACACGCCAGAGAAAGCCCACACTGCATAACCTTCCCAGGTATTAGTGAACGGGCGTATCACAGTTAATATAAATATGGTAAATGGAGGAGGGGCCTGGATCGGACGAGAACCCGGGCGACACGCGCGCTGTACACCTAATCAGCGAGCGTCGCGTCAACCAGAGGGTCACCGGAATGGAGCATGGGCAGCGTTAGACGCGCAGCCTGTGAGAAGGCAGCATCTCTCCCTCTCGATCTCCGACAAATTAGCGTCGACCACACGCGGCCGCACGGAAAGAAACTGCGTTCCAGTAGCGCCTGCAACCCCCTCCCCCCTGACCCTTACAGCACCCGACGGCATCGACGTGGAGGGAGAAAAGGGGACGCTTAAACAACGGCCAGTCCAGGGGAATGTTTGCAATGCCCAGGTCGCGAGAGGTCACGGTTACACACCTGCACGGGTTACGTCACGGTTCGGCACATGGGCAGTCATCGCGCGCGGACGACATAAGGAAAGACAGGATAACATAAAGGGGAACCTCCCAGGGACGGTGGATCAGTGACGCGATTACAAAATACCGATGCGGGAGTAGATCACGGCCCATCCCTCAATGCTCGCCACAGAGAACTCCACGGGGACAGACTGCTGCCGAACCGAAGAACAACACCCAGGGAGCATCCGCAGCGTGCTGACGCCGGCAGTATGAGGCCAAGCGCAGGGCCACTTCGCCACGAGGTCCGACGACGGAATGTCCAGCTCGCCCCCCGGTCACCGTCGCCCGCTGCGTGGCACGCGGCGGGGAGTCGCGGTGCCGCCCACAGCGGACCGCAGGCACCGCCGGCGACGCGCCAATGGCCCGCCCCGGCCGCAGGACGCATCCCGAAAAGGCGGGTCGCCGGGAGCTGCGCGGCGCCTACAGCGCCATCTCACTGGTGTGCGCAGTCTGAGCGCGGGCCGCAGAAGCCACCCGCTCGTCAGCTGATAAAACGCGAAAAGGCGTCGTGCACATGATCTGCTCCAATCGGAGCTAGCTCCCCGACCGAAGCCGACAGGGCGCCCCGGCCACACAGAGCGCGCTGTACCAAAGTAATAACAAAATGCAAGCAGAACCCACCTTCAAAACACTGATATCAGACGCGAGAGTCAAGGCTTTGCGGGGAACTCGAGCTCAGCTGAGAGCTCGCTCCCCAAAGCCGCCTAGCGGTCCACTCGTGCTGCCATCTATTGACGCCGGCGGAAACTGCGCGCTAGCTGCGCTGCAGCTCCTTGTACATGGCGTTGGCGTCCGTCTTCTTGTAGTGCCGGTACTGGCTGTCAGCATTGGGCTGCGAGTCCTTGGGTATGACCGGGAAGCAGCACCACAGGATGAAGGCGATGAACGCCACCAGCGTGCCGATGAACAGGATGAAGTCCTCCACCGACTGCCGGGAGAGGGCGGGCCGGGTCAGGCGCGCCTCAAGGGCGACACCGCACCGCACACTCCCGCGGCGTGCACCATCGCCGACAGAGCGAGGGCGGGCCGGTACGGCTGCCACATGATGACGGTGCACCGCTCGACCAGTGTGGTGCTTTTCTAAACCGGAATGAGCGATTTGCGGGGACGCCTCCGTCAGCCTTCGCTGAGCATAGCCTGTTTGGAAGACTCATGCACTTCAATCGAATCGACAAAAGAGCGATCCCACATAAACTGATATTTTGCTTCAGAAAACAGAAACCCACCGTGCCTCGCAACATGCCTACAGCCGGCAGTCATCCCGCGCCAGGCTGGCTGTCTCGGTCAAGGGACGGCTCGGCCCAGCGATCACCATTGACAGGTCACATCAGCACTGTTTCGGGTCACCCCAGCCCTCATGGCCACCAAAATGCCCCATTTATGGCACACTTCCAACTGAGCTTTAGGAAGTCATGACTCAATCGGCGTCAGGCACAATGTAGGCATGTCGCCGAGCACGCCGTAAAATATGAGAGAAGGCATGCTTTATTAACTTAAATCCGAACATTCTGATTGAATGTATATCTGGAGCCAGAGTCCACACTAAGGATGGCTTGGTCTGTGAACTCGGATCCCCATCTGATCCTGAAATTCCAGTTCAACAATTTCCACTGCAATCCCCGGCATGATCCACCCCGCCACTTGACCTCATCTGACCTTGAGCGGCCGTGCCACCGGCCGCAGGCCATCTCAGTCAGAGGCAAACAATGAGCGACGAAGCAATGCCAGCTCAATCACCCTACCACGGGTAGATCCGGAGGCAGGCGCTCTGACCCATCATGCCCAGGCCTACAACGGTGGACATGACATGCGTGAAACATCTCCAGCCTTCCCTCTTCCATCTACAGTCGGGCCAACTGACAGTTGCCTTTATGCAGAGCACATCTCATGCCTAACACCCCATTGCACAAAATATCCCTTTGAAGTGGACAATCACTTCACCGAATCACACTATCACACTATCACTGAAGCTGACTGACAGGCCCACGCAGGCTCTCACCGGCTCCTCCCCCAGTATGACAGAGTTGATGAGGTATTTAATGTCATCGACAGGTGTCATGACTGCAGCATGTAGAGCCTGAAACATGAAGATCAGGCCATGGTGAGCATCTCAAGCACGCACCCCATCCATATGGCCAGAAAACATCATTCAGTTGGATGCTACAAACTGCTTTGCTGCTGCCTCAGTGACCACTCATTTTAAATTTGCTGTAATTGAGGTACAGCATGGAATGCCATCATATTACATGAGAAGTATGCAACTGATGCAACTATAGAGTGCCTACACCTGCTGGAAGCTTGATTGATCAAATTACATATGCTGATGACTAGTAAATACTGCATGCTATTAAAAAAAGCCAGCAGAGCAACACACCCTTTGGGGGTGGGGACCACCTTATTTACCCATCCAATGGGCCGCCACAAGGAAACTAGGAAACCTTCTTTGCTATAGGCAAATGTGCATCATCTAGTCAAGGCATGCAGTCATGTCTGACAAATATATGCCCTACTCAAGAGTGCTCCTCAGTTATTTTATCTCATTGCAACCATGTCTGGGAGTAAGTGGCTTAAAAATATGGTGTACCATTTCCAAATAGTTTGCTATCCACATGTATCTTTATTCTCTCAATGTGTATCGGCAGCAGTATGACCTAAGTACAAGCTCACTTTGCCATATGGCCAAAATTTTATGCATTCTATTCACAGCACCAGACTGCAAACTCACATTGTGTAGTTACAGGCACAACAATCTGATCTCTACACCACAATATGCACATGGGACATAATGGCACAGAATTGGCACTTGGGAACCATTTCATTTCATCATTATGACCATCAAAGGAGGTAACATGGAAATACTGTGCAGAGTTTTTGCTAGCAAAATTTTTTACTAATGCTTTCTACTTGGGCCCAGCAGGCATGAACCTAAGCATTTATCTGGGGTGTGATGTGTTCACTTTCAGTAGAGCATGCTGCGTTATGGGTACAAAACCTGCCAAACAACAAACAAAACATTTTGAAAATTTTCATGTGCATACTAACACGCCTAAACCTGCTAATGGGCCTTGTCATTAACTGACACCTGTCATCTGACATCTGAAAACAATGCCCAACCTACTGTCATCTAAGATTCAGCATATTACATCAAGAGTTGGTCAAATAAGTGAAGAGCAATCCTTTCTTGATACCAGGGGCAGGTCCAGTGTTTTGGCAAGGGCGGGATACTTCATGGTGGTGCTTTCTGGAACTGGGTGTGCCCCCCCCCCCCCCCCTCCCAGTTCACAAAAACTCTGCAGCTTTTGACAGCTTTGTTTTCAGATCATTATTTTCTTATCAGTAAACTTTCTTGTGACAGACTGGCCCAGTGAATTTCACTGACTTTATTCAAGATGTCAACTTTATTTAAGTTTTATGTTGAGCTTCTTTGACTGCAAGATGAGCAAAAAGCTATCAGAAAATATGAGTCACCATGCATTTAGAAACAAAAAATTCCGACAGTGCAGGAATTAAGTGACTTAACAAAAATGTCTATCTCTGATTAAGCAATACTTTCTAATGCATCAAAAGATCAAGTTGTAATAAGTTGCATACATGTAGAGAGCATCTCAGGCCCTAGGTTTCACCTGTCAATTTTCTGACTGATATTGAAACACATTACAATATACAGCACCACAATTTCATGTCACAATGGCATAACCACTCTTGCTTGTACTACTATAACTCTTTTCACCGTAACTACTACAATTATGTTTGAACGCACAGCTCAACCTGTCATTTCTATTACCGCTGTACTGCCTACAATTTCAAAAGTTCACACACCCCAAGACTTCAAACAAATTTCCGGTGAGAAGTTCAGGGCAATGCGCTGCTTCTACAAACAGTTTGCAACTAGAAATGATGTGGCAATGCAATATGCTGCATCCTGATTCAGCATACAAGTGTCCATGATACAATGCCAGAATTTTGGATACTTTGACGGGTTTGAGATGAATGATCCTGTATTGCTTGCTCCCAGTCATATCTTTATCTGCTGCATGTCTGTGTCATCCTTAACCAATGATCAATCAACAGCTGAATCTGTGCACCCATTGACATGGTTCATACTTGGTAGCAATTCAGATGTGATGCAGGTCTGATGCAGATGTGAGCAACATAACCAGGATATCAACCTGAGGAGGGCCAGCTTGGGACCGGGCACCAATTCATTCAGCAAAATCCCTTCATTGGTACAGTGACTTTATTTTTTAGAATGATTTGGATAAAACTTCTAGACTAGGCATGCTATTTTGATGTCTCCATGACCTGTTTTTATGTAAAAGCTCTTCGGGTGTTTCACAATGCCAGCACGCACCACAGGCCTCATTCCCGGAGGCTCCCTTCATCTCTAGGCCATAGGAGATTTGGGACCAAATGTGCTCTCCTTGGCTACACCACTGCACCATGTGGGAGGTATATTAGTTTCTGAGTGAGTTGCAACTTGCACATGTGTGCAAAATAACAAATTGTGAGTGAGTCTCTGGGTTTTAACAACACCTCTCAACTAATAAGGCCATATGGCCTTGCCTGCCTCTCCCCCTGGCAAGAAAGGTGGGAGCTGCTAGCAACCAAACCTGCACTCCTGGCTTTCCAGACATGCAGCTAAGCCACTACACTACCAGCACCCTGAAAACACTGGATTATGGATTGGGGTCTGTGGCTTGACTTTGGTTGCTGGATTTAAATAACTGATGTGTTCACAATTTTAATTTAAACTTAATACAAAATGTAATGTCATCAATAAAATGTAATTCCACATAGGTATGCCAAACTGCTAGTGGATATAAGGACATATTAAGTTTTTAACTCATTTAATTTATCTTGTTTTAATCAACTCAGGACAAGGAAACATACATCCCACCATTGCCATGCAGCCAATACTGTTAAATTCAGGGTAGCTTGGATGTAACAAAAGCATGATAAACTGTTTCCCTATAAAAACAATAAAGGTGCAATATGCTCCTATAAGATGACATAAAAATATTCATCTAGACACAACCATACTACTCATCTTATCATACACAAAATAACAGTGCTCTGAAACTAAGAACTGCTCCTGGGCGTTCTGGCACCAACTTCACCCCAACCACGCACTCGCAACACCTGTACCACATCTACGCAGGGCTTGCAAATTGATTATGGTACAGCTATGGGCAGCAAACACACGACCAATTATACGTCGGTGTCCACTTTAGACTGCGCAGGAATTCTACCCGTCCTAAGATCCAAAGTGATCATGTCACAAAGAGACCAATGTGTAAGAACGGGTTTGAGCACCCCCAACCCACCAGCGAAACCACCTCCGCCACCCGCTCTTCTTAGTTCATGCAATCGTTAAAAGTAAGTCGTCGTAGGAGTGCCTTATTCACCAAAGTTTTCTAGAAGCTTCTCCAAATAAAAGGAATACCGAAAAACATTGGACAGTTTTCGGACAGAAATAAAGACCACAGATGCCCACAAGATCTATATGATACGACCATAAGAACCCTCAGAAACCAGAAATCACGACTAATTCAGGTCATCACACCCCAAAAGTGTGATACCCTACGCTCGTGATCAATGGCGCGGGCAAGGAGAGGGCAAGGCACTGAAGGTCATCGCATGGATCTCCCCCTCCCCGTAGTCTGACCCGAATCTCTTTCGGTAATCTTTTCCTGATCTGTTTGGGTCATCGTGATTTGTTTCTGTGCAAACCTAATTTGTTTCTGTGCCACCTAAGGGTATCTCCCCATGAGGCACCATCTTTCTGTTGTGGTGGTACCGAGTGCTTCAATGATCCTGCGGGTGTTGAGGGAGGCTCGCAAAGCGCCTCTTACGGCCAGAAGAGAGTAGCCAAGCTAGGAATGCCCACTGCACGGACCCCGATTCCGGCCAGGGGGGGGGGAGGGGGGGAAGGTGATAAACAACACCTGGACCGCAGCTTTGAGTTTTATTAGGGTTGCCGTGCCCCGTTGTACCCACAGGAATGATGAAAGGGTCTTGGGTGCCGAGGTAGTTACCTTGCGGGTCAAGCTTGGCGTCCACCAACACTCATCTTTGACCTGAATTTTCCTACCTGTAAGTGCCCGTTCCGACTCTGCACGCAGCCGGCTTGACAGGCACCGTGCTTGTGCGGCACTGGCCCGGCGTCAGGCGGCTCAGGCGACAGGTGTCGAGGGGGAGTCGCCGGATGCAGTATCTGTCGTTGGTGGTCGGGGAACGGGCGCATCAAAACAACAAACTTCTATTTGACAGCCATGGATGGACCACAAACTAATCCGACCACGCCTACGCCAACCCTCAGTACATGACGGATTAAAATGACTCCATCCGCTGGGTCCAGTTGAAAACCTGATGGTTCCCGTAGAGCTCCCTAGTCCGGGGGGGGGGGGGGGGGAGGCGGGAAGGCACAGGCAGTCAGATCGCCCACCCGCGTGAAGGATTCGCTGTATGATCATTTGCTCTTCGAACCTTGACGGAGGGGGCAGGTCTTTGCCATTGAAACTGAATCCGTTCGAGGTTCAGCAGGCTCTGTCCAGGTTTTGAATTCCCAAAAACGTGTTGAGGTATCGAGATAACGGTTTCCGAAATCACGCCCTTGATGAAGGAAGAGCGAAATCGGAAAATGTCTGGTGTCAAGGAGTTCAGTTGTCGAGTTCGCGGACGGGGTGTACAGTCCGTGACGATAGAGGCGAAACAGCATCCCTGGAAGAATTCTGTGCAGAGGATCATCAACTACTGGGATCTGCGGGATATTAGCGAGGAAGACATCGTCGAAGGCACGACGAGAGAGAGTTTGGCGAACGCAAAACACAATTTGAAAAGGGTGGGTGGGGCTTTGACGCCTACGGGTGTCATCGTCCTCACATCCGACAGCTTTGTTACCAGAGGGAGTGCAAATCGACCCTCCGTCATTCGCTGTCCGCTTCTAAGCGCCAGATGCGGGGCGGTGCTTCAAGTGCCATTCGTTTGAACCCTTCACCGACCGAAAAATGTCGGAAACAGATAACGTGCAGGATATGCGCAGAGGTCAGGCACGAAACAAGACCTGTGGGTCCGGTATCATTAAGTGCTCTAACTGCTTTGGAGGCCACCCAGCGCGGTTTCGCTCGTGAGCGTTTTCGAAACGAACAAGAACGTAAACGAAACGGAAATCTTGACAATCACGGTAAACAGTGGGCCAACTTACCGCGGGACTGAAAGTAGTCTAATGAAAACCACTGAGTCAGCTCTTACTGAGATGTAGCCGCCACCCAGATGGAAAACTGTTCAGCGGGAGCACCGACAGCTGCCGACCTACCGACAAAACCACTAAGTCCGCTCTTACTGAGATGTAGCCACCACCCAGATGGAAAACTGTTCAGCGGGGGCACCAACAGCTGCTGACCTATCGACAAACAAAGAGACAAGCGTTCCAGGACATGACTTTAGGGGACTGTGTAGTTCTCACACAGATGTTTCGCTCGCAGGGCGTCTCTCCGTCCTGTCTCGACAGGACAGGTGTAGTTTCCGCCTTGTCTGGGGACGCGGCGCCTTCGACATCCGACAGCTGCCATCTACAGGTGTTTTAAGCGCCTGTAGCATCCCTCCCGCACCTCTCCTGAGAGCAGCCCCGGAGCGGCGGAGGCCCCGAGCACGCTCCCGACGTTTCCAGGCTTCTACGCATCCTGACAGGGTCTTTTTTTGGTGAAACTTTGTGTAAAGTCTGGTCACGACTGAGAAGTCCAGAAGACGAAATGTCCAGGTGTACCCGCCTGGGGGGCCGCCGCTAAGGTGTCCGGCTGAGAAGCCGTCACTGAGATGTCCGGCTGGGAGGTCGCCGCTGAGATGTCCGGCTGGAAGGCCGCCGCTGAGATGTCCGGCTGAGAGGTCGTCACTGAGATGTCCCACTGGGAGGTCGCCGCTGAGATGTCCGGCTGGGAGACCACCGCTGAGATATCCGGCTGGGAGACCACCGCCGAGATGTCCGGCTGGGAGACCGCCGCTGAGATGTCTGGCTGGGAGGCCGCCGCTGAGATGTTCGGCTGGGAGACCGCCGCTGAGATGTCTGGCTGGGAGGCCGCCGCTGAGATGTCTGGCTGGGAGGCTGCCGCTGAAATGTCCGGCTGGGAGGTCGCCGCTGAGATGTCCGGCTGGGAGGTCGTTGCTGAGATGTCCGGCTGAGAGGCCGTCGCTGAGATGTCCGGCTGGGAGACCGCCGCTGAGATGTCTGGCTGGGAGGCCGCCGCTGAGATGTCCGGCTGGGAGACCGCCGCTAAGCTGTCCGGCTGGGAGGCCGCTGCTGAGATGTCCGGCTGGAAAGCTGCCGCTTGGATCCGGATGTGACGTGCTGTGGGGTTGCCGCGTTCAGCGATACTTGATCTTTCAACAGGCCCTTTTAATGCAGTGGCACAGTTTTCCCTGGGTTAGATAACACCATTACGCCGTCACCGAAATGAAGACCGTGATCAGGGCTTCGTTCGGTTCGGTTAAGTTCTGGTTCTGTCCAGGTCAGCTTTTAAGGCGTGGGGCACCGTCCTGTCCAGTGGCTGGAAGTTGTGGTAGGTGTGAGGTGGCATCGTTAGAATGTGCACGCCATTTTTTGGGGCCTCGCCCAAGGCGGGCACAGAAAGGCGACTTTCTTAGTTGCTTATGATGGCTCTGGATGGGTTCTCTATTGATGCTCCGGTGTGCTTCATGCAATGTTTGATGACTTGAAGGCAATGGTCACGTCCCTGGCGCGGGAGAGCAGGCTCCCAAGCAAAATAAAGTAATAATCATGAACAGAGACACATTGAGAGAGGTGAAACACTGGAGGGAGAAGTGGGACGCGCTGTATCCCATCTCTCCCACCAGCATCAGATTAGGCAAACATGCCAGCCCTAGAAAAAACGATACAATTTACAAGGTGCGAAGGCACACGGGACAATGAGCTCTATCTTCAAGATGGTCTTATAGAACATAGTTTGACAAAGACCAGGCAAATCTACCTTACCTTACTCGTCGCAATATCATAAAAACAATGTTTTGCCACCCCCACCTGCCTTCTGATACACCGGTGCTGCTGGAATAGGAAGATCTGGACGGTGTGAATATACTTGAAAACAACATTAGTGCAGAACGATCATCGCACGGTACAAGTCTCAGCGACTCCTCTATGCCCAGGTCCCGCGCCCTAGGCCTTGTGGTGGTGCAACTCAGTTTGTGAGTACACAGCATGTGCCCACAAACCGAAATATTCCTGCATCCCAGGTGTGTTACAGTGTTATGTGCCCATAAACCAAGCATATGAAAACACACACACACACACACACACACACACACACACACACACACACACACACACACACACACACACACACACACACACACACACACACACACACACACACACACACACACACACACACACACACACACACACACACACACACACACACACACACACACACACACACACACACACACACACACACACACACACACGCATACATAATAACACCCACCTTCCTGATCCACCTTTGCCACGCTCATGGACGCTACTTATGTGGAGAACTAACATTAACATGAACAAAACCCTCTGACTGAATTATGTCCTAACTACCAATGGCGAAGTGGCACTGTGAAAACCATCCCATACTACTCCATGTACCAACTAGCCCCCGTTTCTCCTTCTTCTCTACGCTGCGCTGCCTGACGATCACAGAATCCTATGTGGGTTCTGCCAGCTTCAGCTAGCGCGGACCAGAGGTGCCACTTTGCAGCCCGTTTTACTTGCGCTCTGCGGGTCTGTGGACTTAAATGTGGCACCTCTAGTCCGCAACAGCCGACGATTGCAGAATGTGCAGCGGGTTCTGCAGCCAGTTCGCAAGGTGAAAATGGGTATTGACCTCAAATCAGTCACCCCTGGAAAATGATTTCCCCGGTAAATGGCGTTGGCTGACAGCTAGTGGGAAGTCCCAGCAAGGGCATGCTGCCAAATCGTAAAGCCAGTGGGCAACCGTGAACAGGGCGCCAAATGTGCA